AAAACAGTTACCGTTTTGATCAATGCCACTGATGATGATGGTGATGATATCATATTCAATGTGAGCGGTCTTCCTGATGGCACTAACCAGACAATCTATCCAACGTCTGTGTCGCTGAAATGGAAAGTGACCATGGAAAAGGTTATTATTGGATATAGATTATATTTGTGATCTATTAAATTATTTAACTTACATCGAAGCTGCAGGTAAAATTGTCAAAAGATGAAGCAGTGTTTCAAAAAGTATAGTTTCTATTCCTGTTGTCTTGAAGGATTATCCGTAAAAATAAGCTCGTCAACAGATTTGTTCTTCTTTCGTTCTTCTTTTATTTTAGTTTCTTTTGTCCTAATTTCTTTCATCTTTCCTCTTTATTCTTTGTTCTTTGTCGTTTTTTCCTTTACTGACCGTTCCCCCCCCCCCCCCGAATACCTTTTGTTTTCCATTTACTTTGTCACATTTTTTTACTCCTCCTTTGTATAGAATATAACTATACTACAGAATCAGCTCCTTCAAGTTCGGCTCAAGATCCAAAATCTCGCATACTAACATACACACCTTGCATTTCAGTTTGAGCTTGTAGTCATAGCAACAGACAGCAAGGGCGCTTCTACAGTCTTCAAACCCACTACGTACATCTGCCCATGTCACAACAATGGAATATGCGAGAAACCAAACAAACTAGCCAATCAGTCGCTTGCAGATCCAGGGAAGGAAAGGTTCTTTCTAATGTCTTGTGTCTGCGTGGATGGATACACTGGACAGTACTGTGAGTCCGATATTGATGCCTGTGAAGCAAACTCCAATCCTTGCTATCCTGGAGTTGAGTGTAAAGACTTGCCGCCGCCAGCCAACCTGACGAGTGGATACACTTGTGATCCTTGTCCTAGTGGATATACTGGAAATGGTGCAAACTGCGCAGGTAAATAAATAAGACGAATAACTTTTGTTATCCGTYGTGGTGCAGTGTCTTTCCTCCATTTAAACCAGCCTAAGCTGAATAGCCCACTTCCGGGATATGCTTCGCTTGTCACGCACAAAGGTTTCAAAACCTTTGTGAGTGACAGTCGAAACATATCTCGGAGGTGGGCTATTGGACTGCTCTGTCAAAATATTGCTTATATATATGATTTTTTGTTTGAGTTGTATCCATATTYATGTGTCTTCTCTTGCGCAACCGTTAAACAAAAAATGTAACTCAAGGGAATGACATGGTCTGATCATGAAATGGGAAAACATTAAGCCTAAGGTAAARAGGTATCCTAGTCTTCCATATGTAGATTTTCACTCCCAACGATGATGCTATTTGAATTACCTTTGAATGTAGATGTCGATGAGTGCGCTGGAGTTAACGWCTGYGAGCAGATATGTGGCAACACACCAGGCTCGTACGTGTGTGACTGCAAGAAAGGATACAAACTTAATGTGGACAAGAAAACATGCGACGGTAAGATACGTATAGACCCCTTGCACTGAGTCCCGAGAGAAATTGTTCTTGGGGGGGGGGGGTGGATTTGTTTTGCATTTAAAAAAACGGACTATTGTTTTGTCCCCCAGAACAATTTTTCTTGGAAATCAATACAAAGGGTCTATCTGCTCTAAATGGCCATCATACCATATCTAGCCATCATGACCATCATACCGTATCATATATGTCACGGAGTGACGTTCAGTCAAATGAATTATCATTATATCTTAATCATATCATTATTAGTAGATGATATTTATGCAAGATTAAAATGGTTGGTATATTTTTCTCCAGACATCAACGAGTGTGACCCTGTTAGTGACTGTATGCAGAACTGCACGAACTATGTCGGTAGCTATTCCTGTTCCTGTAACAAGTATTTCAAGGTTAAACCTGACAATCCAAAGCAATGCATACGTAGGTCAATATATATCTCATTCAAAAATGTACTCAAATGCATCATCTTATGCAAAGAAAGTTATGATTAAGAAAGCCTTTCAATTTCATCGAACTCTAAAACAAGATTTGGGCTGATCTATAAGTCAAGGCATGGCTGACACACACAGAGCGAACCCTGAAACAAGCTTTTGGCTGTTCTAAGTCAGGGCATGACTAGCTCACACATTAAACACTGAAACAATCTCTGGGCTGATCTAAGTCAGGGCACAGCTAACTCACAGATCGAACTCTAAAACAACCCCTGGGATGGGCTGATCTAAGTCAAGGCACGTCAAACTCACAGATCGAACACTGAAACCACATCTGGGCTGATCCAAGTCAGGTCATGACTAGCTCACAGATTGAACCCTGAAACAATCTCTGGGCTGATCTAAGTGAGGGCACGGCTTACTCACAGATCGAATTGCAATTCAGCTTTTTATTTTGCTTTTSCGGAGGGAGTGAGGAAAACCGAAACATTCTCACGAATGACACACAGACAGACCTAACAAACTCTACTCACATGCCAAGAGGAAAGGCGAATGGTACTGTTGCTACGCACCGCTTGTTCAGCTTAGATCAAAGTTGTTTCACGGTTAGACCTATGGTAGTCGTGCCCTGATTGTCTTTTTTGAGCTTCAAAAATGTAAATATTCAATTCCAAATTTCTTGTATTTTGCAGCTGAAACTCCATGTACGAATAACCGTCTGGGCTGCACACACGTGTGTTATGTTGCAGATGAAGTTGAAACTTGTGCGTGTAACCAAGGTTACGAACTAGMCAACGACAAAAGGACRTGCGAAGGTKCGATCGATAATCAACTRATCTTCTTGTGGAGGGCTTTTGCGTGATGGTCACGCTATTCTCAATATTCAAAGAATGTTAGCCGTTCCGGGATTGAAGAAGGCGTTGCATCACGGGGCTGTTTGAGGGGACGCTTTATTACTTATATGGCTTCTTTCTCGCTTGCCGATAGTAAAACGGCGTAAAAAASAAGTGAAAAAAATCTTTATAATGGATTGCAGCCATTAATAATAATAATAATCAATCTTTATTCAGGAAGCCTACTTCACATAATGTGTTTTACAATAGGGTCCTGCCATTATATTAAGGGCATATCATATCGACAAACACATGGTGGCCATGATGGTGGCATTAACACATGACGGCGATGAAGTAACGTACATGTTGATGTCACAAACAAACTTTAACGTTAACTAAACTTTAACAATGTTTAACGTTCGAAGAAGGACGGACGAGTCATGCGCAGTTAAAATTCTGCATTACAAAAACAGCATTAAAAATTTTTTTTTTCCTTCTAATTTTTAAAGATATTGACGAGTGCGCCAGGAATGTCAACCGATGTCAACAGAAGTGTCACAACACTAAAGGAGGCTACTACTGCTCCTGTGTCGATGGATTTGAACTCGCGTCCGATAATGTGACG